GCCGTTGAGTCACTTGTGACTCATAGCGACCCTAAACTCTGCTCTGTCCTGTGCCAATCGCACTGCCTCTGACACTCCCATCCCAATTAACCCAGTCACTGAATCAGTCTGCCTCCTAGAGGGTCTTTCCCTCCTGTACTGTCCCTCCACCCTCCCAAGCATAATGTCCCTCTCCAAGGACCGGTCTCTCCTTACAATATGTCCAAAGTATGTTAGACAGAGTCTCAGAATCCTTGCCTCCAAGGAGCCGCCTGGTTTAACCCTCTCCAGCATGAATCTGTTTGTTTTCCTAGCAGGCCATGATACATTCAATACTTTTCTCCAACACCACAGCTCAAAGGCATTAATTCTCCTTCTAGCCTCCTTAGTCATTGTCCAACTCTCTGATGCATAACAAGTGATTGCAAAGACCATGGTCTGTATCAGACACACCTTAGTCTACAGAGTTACACCATTGCTCTTCAGAACTTTGGAAAGGTCCCTAATAGCAGACTTTCCCATGGCAATATGTCTTTTAATTTCCTGGCTACTGGTGCCTTTGGAGCCAAGCAAACTAAAGCTGTGAACAATCTCAGTCTCTTCACCATCCATCCTGATGCTGCCAGTTGGTCCAGTGGTGAGAATCTTTGTCTTCTTGACATTATACATATTCAAAATAATGTATCTCTTAATGCCTGGGGAGGGGAAACTTTTTTTTTTACAATAGCTTAGTTTTTATTGTGATTATTGGTGGTTATATATGATTTTGTGTGTCAGCTCATATATTGTTTGATGTGGTTTTTAAAAAGATTGATTTGCTGATAAATTTAATATACATTGTATTTCAAACATTTCTTTAGCCACATTGTGTTTGATACAATCATTCTCATGCATTATGTTTTATAAAATTAATCACCGTTGGACTTTGCCCATCATTACCCTAACCTTTTACCCCAATCCTTCCCTTTTCCTTCCCCCACCTTGTTCTACCCACCAAACTGCAGACCTGTGGTTTCACCCCAACCCATCCTCAGCCCTCCCCCACCTTGAGTTTCCATACATGTTTTACTACTTATTCTTCTATTTTTACAATAATGATCTTATGCAGTTTTTGTCCTAATGAGACTGTGTTAGTTTACTCAGCGTAATGCTCTCCAGCCTCTCCCAAGTTATGTAGTATTTTTTGAAATTGTTGCTCCTGAGTGCTGCATAGTATTCCATTGTGTAAATGGACCACAGTTTCTCAGTTCATTTGGTTGTGTTTGGACATTTGGGCTGTGGGAAACAGATTCTTTTAAAAACACGTCCTATAATATAATCCATGGCTCACTGAGAACCCTTGTAACTGTGTTTTGTTTTTTTTTAATTTTTTAAAAATTTTAACGGATTTCTCATTTTGTTGATGATGATTCATAGAAAAACACGTGTTGGTTTCAGGTCACTTGTGAGTGCTGTTGGTGATGTCACCACGGCAAGCTCTCCTGACTACTGCAAGTCTGAGTCTGGCAAAGTCTTTCATAATTTATTAGTTTTTAAGATGGAGTGTTTTGCTTACGAAGCTTCAGGGAAACAAGTACAATAAAATATACAATTAATTAAAACCTTTAGCACGACCAGGAGTGACATTAATAAAACATCACCCTTTAAAGAACCTTAGAATTTCAGCTTACTCTCCCATCTCAGTGGGAAACCAGCATGAGAGAGTCTGTCTTTCATCATAGTCAAGAAACCGAGTTTATTGGACGTGGATTGGTCAGTTTTCAAAGAAACAGGCTCATGGCCACTGTCCCATTCCTCTATGTAGTCTACATCTGGGTGCTCTCAGGTCTAATAATAACAGACACCTGCTCATATTTAGCACTGACTTCATTTGTGTGCCCTTGTTTAATCCTCGCAAGAACCCTGTGGGGTAAATGTTAGGATTTTCATTATACATGTAGGAAAAACAGACTGAGAAATGCTATCACACTACTTCTCAAAAACTACCCCTTAAGCCAATATGACTTTAGTGTCTGTGGGAGAATTGATGCCTTTGAGCCATGGTGCTGGAGAAGAGTATTGAATGTACCCTGGACTGCCAAGAAAACAAACAGATTCATCCTAGAGAGGGTTAAACCAGGCTGCTCCTTGGAGGCAAGGATTCTGGGGCTTCATCTGACATACTTTGGACATGTTGTAAGGAGGGACAGGTCCTTGGAGAGAGGGAAATCATGCTTGGGAGGGTGGAGGGACAGGGCAGGAGGGGAAGACCCTCTATGAGGTGGATTGATTCAGTGACTGTGGTATCGGGATGGGTGTATCAGAGACAGTGTGATTGGCACAGGATAGAGCAGAGTTTAGGGCTGTTGTACATAGGGTTGCTATGAGTCACAAGTGATTCGATGGCACATAACAACAACAACAACTTTAGACACAGCCAAACCCATCACCACCAAGTGGATTCTGATTCATCATGACCCAGTGGAACATACTCCTTCAAAAGTTTTCTTAAGCTGTAAACCTTTACAAAAGCAGATTGCATCATCTTTGTCCTGTGGATTTGAACTGTCGAGCTTCTGGTTAACAGCCAGTGCTTAGTCAACTGCATTGAGTCAGAATCTCCCAAGTGGGGTCCAGCAGTCTATATAGTTAACAGCCAGTGCTTAGTCAACTGCATTGAGTCAGAATCTCCCAAGTGGGTCCAGCAGTCTATATCGTAAACAGGTTCTCCAGCTGATTCTTAGGCACCCTCAAGTTTGAGAATAATTGACTTGTAAGAACTTTTGTGACCCCACTGCATGGTCTGAGCAGAATTTCGTCCTCATGTAATGCTTTGGATCGTCTCTAACATGTTAGGAAGGCCCTTTCAAAACAATACCTCCCTTGCCTTTCTAAATAGCTACTTAGTCTCCTCTACATGGAAAAAAGTAAGAATTTCAAGAGGAGGATCTTTTCAAATGCTTTGTTCAGAGAACCTCCTACCGCTGATTTCCTCTATCCTTTTATACTGTTAGTATCTCCTTCTAGAAGCTTCCTGTGGAACGGTTCTGGAACATGTCTGTGTGGACTTTGTTTATTTCAGTACCTAAATAGGTCGGATATATAGGTGCTAAATGACTTGCTATTGCCCTTTTGAAAGAACTAAACTGTTTCATCTCATCTGAGACTTCATTTGAGAATGTAGGTGTAGTACTGATAAAATGCACTGGCAAATTGTTATCACATTGATTTTCTATGCCAGTTTCCCCCTTGCTGTATGTTCTGCAGATGTTACCTGACTTCTCTGAGTTGTGGTGTTCGGGACTTAGAATGTTGTTGTTATTTACCGTAGAGTCAGAACCGACCCATGGCTGACCCTCAGGCCAGTTTTCAGAGGAAGTTAATTGCACTGGAGCAGATTGTCCATCTCTCTCATGCGGTGCAGCTGGTGGGTTCAAACCTCATGCGTTCGGCATTGCAGCTCAGCTTCTTTCCACTAGGCTACCAGAGCTCCACCAAAGCCATGATGATGCATAAATTGGATATGCTGCCATTGTTGCTATGTGCTGTTGAGTTAAAACGCACTCGTAACTGTCCCTCTCGTGGGATTTTATAGGCTCTAAATTGCCTAGGAAGAGATTGCCACCTTTCTCCAGTGGGACAGCTGGTAGATTCCAGCCATGTGCCTTTGGGTTGGCAGCACAACTTAGCCACCAGAGTTGATAGATTAATGAAAGAGCTTTGAAAATACTTCGTGGAAACCACTGGTTGCTTTACGAATGTAACGTTCTCAGAACAGCTTGTGAGGCTGGGTGGGATGTGAAACTTGGGGACGAACATGTGCTCTCCTCCTACTGTGACGACTAGATTTGTAAAGTTAGTTTCCATAAAAGGAGGAGCACAGGGTGTGTTGTGGATGGAGTGGAGACTTAGGACTCACTGGGCCTTAGGCTTGAAGATAGCACCTAGACTCCTCTCAGCTTCTCTTGATTGGAGGTCAGAATACCTCTCAGAAGCACTGTGGTAAGGAAAGAGGTCAGACTTGATGAAAAACCCGAGCGCTAATGGCCTAATGGCATTATCATAGGGATTAAAAGTTGTGGGGATTGGGTGCAAGAGAAAGGACAAGATAGAAGAGCACTGGGTGAGAGACTACCAGGCTCCAGAGCATTGGTCTAGCAATGTCAAGGTCAGTGGCAGACCCCTCTCTCTAGAGACCTGCTCTTTATAATCTGCCTTAGGGACGATGAGAAGCTACAGATGAATTGCATGAAAAAGAACTTTGATAACCACATAACATGGGTTCCAGAGTCTGCCAGACACAAACCCCAAGTGGTCGGTGAAAATGTGGTGGTGAGCCAGACCTGCGTGTGTGCTTGCAGGAGGGGATCATGATGGCATTTTGAAAGGGGATGTGCCTTTTCAAGGGTGCAGCTGCTGCTTGGCCCGTCAGGTTATTGCCCTGCAGGGTCCGTCTGGTTTGGTCATCAGTATTTTGCCAAGAAGTAGGGAACTGGACTTTTTGGTGACATTCTTCTGACTTTTGAAAACATGGACCAAATGGTAAAAAAAAAAAAGTAAAACAAAACACGCTGTGGCCCAAGCAACACACATCTGTGGGCCAGATTTGGCCTGTGGGCTGTCAGCTCGTGGCCTCTGCTGTAGAGTGTTCTATAAACATGACCCAGTATTATTATTGCCGTGTCCTGGAATTCCTGCTAACCTCGCGGGAGAGTTTATGTTGGGGCCCTTCTAGGAACACTTGTAGGCCACATTCACACCACATTGCTCTTGGGGACTTTAAATGCATATTGTGTTATTTCGGAAGATCAAGACTCCAGATGCATGGGCTGGAAAGATATGTCTCCTTAAAGGAGATGTTTGGGTGATTGGCAACAGCCCCCTGGAAAGTGGAGAGTAGAATTGATGGTGAAAAGTGTGTGCCCCAGTGTCTCTTGGATTCGCCGAGCACCAGGGTAAACCTGAACCCTTGCGTACTCTTAGGACCTGTGCTTTGTTCTTAGGCATAGCTTTCTTCATTGCTTTTTCTGTTTGTTTTACAGAAGAAAGAGTTTGATGTGGACACGCTCAGTAAGTCTGAGCTACGGATGCTCCTCAGCGTAATGGAAGGGGAACTGGAGGCCAGAGACCTCGTCATTGAGGCCCTGAGGGTAAGAAGGGGGGACCCCACTGTCTCTTCATGTCATTACCTCCTCACCCCATGCCTCCTCAAACCATGTGTGTTTGCGTGTCTTTTCTTTTTTTCAAAGAGCCAGTGGCAAAGATTACGGGATTTTTTGGTCAAATAAATTTAAAATGTTTTAGCAATTTAAAATGTGTTTTCTCCTCATGCCTCTGACTCCAAGGTCAAACCATAACTTTTATAAGCAAAAAAGGGAGGGGGGGAGTTTAAAATTGGATGGGCTTTGACATGACGGAGACTGAGACTAAACTGTTTTAACATGGGAAATTTGAGAAGTAAGTTGTAATAGTTCAGAAATCCTTTTATGCTTTGCGTGTTTATTTGGTTAGAGACAGATGTTTGCAGAATTTTGGTAATTTGCTATCCATCCTACAACTATGTGGAGACTGGGTGGCAAAAATTAGGGAACTGGTTATAAATGATAATGTTGATGATACATCTTTCTTTCTCCAATATCAATTATAAATGATTTCTTATTTTTTAAAGCTCAGAGTAGTTAAAAAGCCCACACCTGCCCTCTGCTATTAAGTCAATTCTGCCTCGTAGCAACCCTTGTAGGAGAGAGAAGAACTGCCCTGAAAGTTTCCGAGACTGTAAACCTTTTTGGAAGCTGACTGCTTAACATCTTTCTCCAGCAGACGTTACACACACATAGATCTTAAAATCATTTATTGAGGTTTTCTTATTTTTGGTCTAACCTTTCAGTGCAAGCAGGAGTGGCATCCACTTCCTAAACCACATGCCTCCGGAAACTCTATGCACTTTGATATATGTCCAGAGCTGTAGGGGGGCTTCGGGCCTTTTGTTCATAAGGTCACTATGAGTCCTGATCGACCTGAAGACAATCAACAACAACAGCAATCAAATAGAGGAATCATCTAAAGTAAAGTACAAGGGTGTGGTTCCCTGGGGAGGCCACACCTGGGTGGAGGGCTTCAGGTCCATGGTCAGTATTTTCTGCTTCTTTCCATCAGCTTCAGTTGCACAGCAGCCCTGTGGAGTTTCCCTGTGCTCACACAAAGGCTTACACATTTAGTGGAGTCCATACATTTATGGAGCTCCAGGGGCATAGTGGTAAGGAGTTGTGTTGTCAACCCCAAAGGTGGGCGGTTCAAATCCACCAGCTGCTCCATGGGAGAAAAATGGGCCGTCTCTTCTCATGGGAGGTACTGCCTATGAGAAACCTGTTGGAGGGCCCGCTCTGAGTTGGTTCTGACTTGAAGGTACATACAGTGTGCATTTATATGGCACTTTAGCACGTTTCTATTGTCTTAATTTAATTGCAGTACTTTCAGATGTAGGAATAGTGGGAATGACTTGCTGCTTACTGATCTGGACTCATCAAATGAAAAGGTTTTCATAGAATCTAGGAATTCTAAGCAGGAAGCGATGGGTGAGAGTCTAGCTTAGTGATTTGCTTCTCCATTGGATTTGGTGTCTCGTTTTCATAAAGTATTTTCTAACATACCTTTTTAACCTTTTTAAAATCCTGTAGTGTAATTTATAAAGGATTGCATGAGGATGTAGGTTATAGTAAAAATAGAATATTAAAAAAAAAAAATACTCCAGTTCCTTGCTCCAGTTTTGATCAGGACAAAGAGCAGGAAGTAATGGATAATAAAAGGTTATGTATCTCAGTAAATAAATACTCAGGCCTGACTGTAGTGGAACACACGATAAAGCAGGTGCCTTTCTGCACGTGCCCGAAGCACCTCCCTAAAAGCAAATAGCTACAGAATCACACTGGTCCTGACCTGTGATGCTGTAGAGGCAGATGCAGTGAGTGGAGGGGGTGTGGAGGGAGACGTGATGTTTGAAATAATGGCTCACTCTTGGTAAAGTTCTGTAAAGAAGTGGACATTTGTATGGGAATTGGACCTGTAGGAAATTTCAGTGCCTGTTATAAAAGAGTTCTAAAAACGTAGGCCGTCTCCTCCCGTGTGATTAGCTGCCTCTGAAAACCTGCTGCAGGGTCAGTTCTGACTTGATGTTTCACAACAACTTGTAAGGAGAATTGAGGAACTAGGCTCAGGGAGTCATCATGGAGGGAAAGGAGAAAAAAGAGGGCGAAGTGATGTTTGCATGGGATGCAGGACAGATACCAGATGTGCAGGAGGGAGCCACACAGACATCACCCTGTTTTCCAAGCACAGCCACTGTGAAAACCAAATGCTTTCCCCCATTTTAAGAAAAAAAAAAAACAAACAGAACAAAGCAGAACAAACAAACAAATCTTTCTAGGGTTCTGCTGCAGTGGAGAGCCAGTGGCCTAGATTAAACTTCTTTGTTTGTACTTTAATACCACTTATACAGAAAGGTTGTGCCTTACCTAAGCTCCCACAGTGGCTCCATGAGAGCCCGGGAATAAGGCCAGTCCCCAGTTTTCATCTGTTTCACCCCACCTTTCTTTGAGGAGAACAGTAGTGTATTTGGAGATACCCAAAGTCGCTGCCCTTTTTAAACATCAAGAATTACATTCTCTTGCCCTAACTTTGTCTCTGCCTGTAGGATCATTGTTTAAGAAAAGATAATCATGTTGTTTTCACATATCAGTGGTGGCCAAATGTGCTCACTGTCATGGGGCAACCCCATTTGGGAAATCCAGCGTTGAAGTAAAATTGGTCAAGGATATACCAAATTAAAAACTATTTCCTGAGATTGATAAGCTGTTGTGTGCTCTCAGATTGATTCCAACACCTAGCAACCCCGTATGATGGAGTAGAACCGCCCCATAGGTTTTGCTAGGCTGTCATCCTTACAGAAGCAGGTTGTCAGATCCTTCTCAGACGTAGATGTGGGTGGCCTCTACCCTTCAGTCTAGCACTTAACCTCTGGGCTACCAGAACCAAAGCAGACTCCCTGCTGTTGAACCAGTCTTGGCTGGCGGTGACCTGGTTGCCGGCTGCTGAGGCTGCAGAGCTTCATGGGAGCAGACTGGCTTGTTGCAGCTGGTGGATTCAAACCATTGACCTTTTGGTTAGCAACCCAGCACACACTGCACTATGCCACTAAGACCTTTAAAAAGGAATATAAGGCCTCTAAAAGAATGGCTTATTTTAATACATTGCACTGTAATTCAGTGATATTCTTATGAAATACTTCCCACAAATTGGAGTTCAAAATTAGTCCCAAAATACCCATTTTAACAAATTTCCTAACACTTTCAAAACACCCCACATATGTTACTATTTAAGTATGTATTCTGGGTTTGGGTTTTTTTTTTTTTTTTAGGCAAAACTTAACTACCTTATTTTTCAGACTGAAAAACCTTTCGGCTTAGTGCTGGGAGACTTTGCCTAGAATAAAGAAATCTCTTTAAATAGAAAAATGCTTCCAGTTTATAAACAACTTCTGGGATATAGCAGAGTATTGTAAGGCTTTTTCTCCTATGACATGTCTGTTAAATAGTGATAAAGTGGAAACATTCTGGGTTTTGATTAGTTTTAACTAAGTAACGCATGCAACCTTTGGTATTTAACAATCCTCCTGTGATTCAAGCAGCTGATTGACAAAAACATGGTTTTGTATGTGTGTTGTGAATTTTAATTAATGAACTAATTAATTTTCTGAACAGAGCTTGAATTCATGAAAACATAAATTAATTTCAAGTTCCTTCCCTGACGCCTGAGATAATGCCTTTGTTCCGTGTCTAGAGAGAGGAAGAGGGGTGGTAACCAGACATGGGGTTAGTCCTGAAAGTAATCCATTTTCATTAGACTCAAGTAGCTGGTGATTTTTGAATAGCATTGTATTTTGTCCAGTAAGATTCTTATTTCAGCATAGGAAATAGCACTTTTGATTCTTTTACTCTTTTGAGCATTTTATTTTCCCTGATAAATCATCAGTGACGAAAAAAAGGAGGTGACAGTTCAAGAAACAAAGGATTTTTTTTCCATAATCTTTTTTTTAGTAAAATTTTTATTTTTTATTGGTTTAAAAAAGGATTATTCAAATTCTACACTGATTTTTCTGGAGTTAATACCCTTGATGGTTTTTTTATTGTTGTTACTGAGAAGCAATGTCGTAGGGTAATCAGTATCTGTGTTCTAGAAGCAGTCTACGTAGTTTGATTCCACGCTCTGTAGCTTACCTTCTGTGTGATCTAAAACAAGTCATTTTACTTCACTGTAATTTAGAATTCCCGTGGTAAAATTGGAAACACTAATAAAATTCATATGTGCTTATATGAAAAAAAAAAAGGAGGATGCCCATAAAAGCTCTTGTAAAAGAAATAAGGGGACCATGACACCTGGCATAGATGTGTGAATCATGACCCTCTTTGATTCATCCAGAGGATAATTCTTTATCTGAAGAGTAACCTGAGGAATCTCTGGAAGATGCAAATGATTAATGTCCCCAGCTGCTAATCAGGAGGTTGGTGGGTTGTGTCTGCCTTGAAGTGCCTGCTGAGAAAGGCCTAGTGATCTTCCCCTGGCGGTGATCTTCCCCTGGCGGTGATCTTCCCCTGGCGGTGATCTTCCCCTGGGGGTGATCTTCCCCTGGCGGTGATCTTCCCCTGGCGGTGATCTTCCCCTGGTGGTGATCTTCCCCTGGCGGTGATCTTCCCCTGGTAGTGATCTTCCCCTGTTGGTGATCTTCCCCTGGTGGGCTCCTCAGTTCTGGCTCAGTGGCAGTGCACTTTGTACACACAGACACATACACTCCCCCACCTCTTGCAGTCCAGCTGGAACCAACTCATCGCTGACCCTCCTCCAGTAGGTTCCGGAGTTCTGTAAATAGCCCAGGAAGAGATGCCCACCCTTAGCCTTTGATGGTCATCACAGCTGGAGAGACTGTTAGTTCAGTTATCTGTCCATTTTTTAGAATTCATTTCATGTGATCTGAAAATGCAGGGCATTTCTCTGAGAGATTTTGTTCACATTTTAACCACCCTGTCAGCACACTTAGTGGCTGAGCTCCAAGTTATGAGTCCTTGTGGGAATTTCCTTTGCCACATTTATGATTAAT